AGTGGGTTTACTGAATTGCACTTTATTTTTAACCATGGTCACGTGCTGGCAGTCTTGTGCTGCTTATCTGCCGAAACCGAAACATTATGGGAACAATTAGATGCCGGCCAGCAGTGGGACAGACGCGGGTCAGAGTGCTCTGTTTAGCAAATACATAGGAAGATGTCATGCTGTTATTTCCCAGACAGCGGCCCTTTTCATAACCCAGAAAAAAACAGCCTTCAAACTCAGTTAGAAAGCTGCACAAAGGCTACACCGATAGCTGTGCAATAGTGTCTCTAAAATAAACTCAAATCTATTCTTAGAAAAGATGAGAAAACCAAATACCACGCATGAGTAAGTTTGGTGAGGGGTGGTTGAGAGCTTCTTGGACCAGTGCTATTACTCCTGGGGCAGATTAACATGAGTATCATTACTTTTGGGGCAGATTAAGTCGTGTGTCATTTCTCCTGGGGCAGATAAGTGTGAATGCCAATATTCTTGGGGCAGATTTAGATGAACATCGTTGCTCCTGGGGTAGATTATTGTGAGTATCATTAGTCCTCCCTCTAGGGTGAGGATGGGTCTCCCACTCTTTGATAAAGGGATCTGGTTGGGTACCCCCCCGGCCCATGGCTTCAGACCTCCTGCCAAAATGGATTTGCACCAAGGGTTCGAACAGAACCAGGAATGCAGCTTCTTCAGCTCCTGTGTTTGCTGTGTCCTGGTGGCTGAAATTCATTATGTCTGTGTTTCTTTAATGCACAAACCTAGGGTCAAATTTCATGGCTATGAAAAGGCACAGCAGACAGTAGCAGGACACAGAGGGAGCGAGGACAGCTTGACCTAGAGTAAATCAAGATGTCAGGTAACAGGGCAGATCCCAAAGAGAGAGGCTGGATGGGGTCGCACTGCACCTGCACCATGTCTGTGTTGGATTTGTAGGGGTGTATCTCAGTGTGGGGGACTGACCTACAGGGTCTAGTCACAGTGGTTATCCAGGCACAGATCTGGATCACAAGCCTGATTGCTGAAATTATTTAAGATGGCAGAATAACATGAGTCTGGAAGTCCTAATGCCAATTGCAGAGTTAGTGTACCAGAGAAGGAGTCCCCAGGTGAGCAGAGAGGGAGTCCCCAGGTGAGCAGAGAGGGAGTGCCCCAGGTTGGCTGAGAGACACACCTCCAGGGGATAAGAGACAGCGTTCCGC